AAACAGCATGACCTAGCAGCCTCCCGGCAGACAAGGTGGGGAAGGGGGGGGCAATCTCTGCAGCTTAAAGAGAAAAAAAATGTATGGCGATTTTTAGCTGACAATTTCAACAGGAAATACAAATTAACTTCTAGAGAAACTCATCCAAAATAAATCAAATGCAAAACTGTCTGAACTATGTTTGGAAATTCCCTATTGATAAGATAATGTCAACCTGTCAGAAAGAGTTTGTATGAATCTTTTGTTGCAGTTGCAGGTTTGGTAAACTGGCTACAAAGCCAATACTAAAGATAATTTGGAAAATTGGATAAAACATTCGAGTTAGATCATATATATCTGAAGACAATTTGCCATGCATTCTCAGGTGCGTCAATATGTAGGAAGCATCATACCATGAATAGTAAACTAACTAAGCAAATTATCAATACAATAGTGAGCTCAATTCTCAGGAGGTGTCTCAAATATGACGGTTGTCTCCGGTAGGTAAAACTGAGCTTTGTATATACCTATGAGCATAAATGTAAGAATTTCATGATATAATGATTTGCAAGTTAATCTAGCAGACAATTACCACTCTAGTGAAATTGATTCACATTTGTGGACCCCGGCAAGTATCCTTGTACCAGACTAAGCTAGACTAGGTGCTTAAAAATCTCTTCAAGCAAACCATCAATCAAATTTGTGCCAGATACCCAAAATTGATAACCTTGTAACAGATAAAACTAAACTAATAAGCTCTTTGAATAGGTTATCAATCCGATTGTCACTGGATACACAATATTTATCACCTTTCTATAAAAGCAAACTAAATGCTTCATCATGTAACAATAATTAGAAAATTAACAAGCTATTACCACTGTAGTGAGTTTAATCCACACTGAGTGGCCCACATATGTGACTTTACACCAAGCTTAGCCAAGTTTGTTAAATGCCTATAAACAAAGGCATCAAATAATTTCTTCAATTAATTATACCTTGTGCTGTGTGTTGTAGAGTAGTTTTCACAGTGGAGGCTTGTATTTCAATAAGTCGTCCTAAATTAGGTTCGACGAACAAAATGTTAGGAACTTGGAAATAAGAGTTAATGACGCAGCAATCTAGTTGTGATGGTTGGTACTTCAATGTCCGATATTGACTGACTCACTCAACACCACTGAACCCAACTGGCCACTGCTACTACTACTTATCATCTGTGGGAGAGTCCATAACAATAGAATAGGTATTATGGTATGACACTGTGTCCCTCAGGTTTGATATATCAATCTATACAAAAAATGAAAATTCTGTTTCACTAAAATGGAAAATCCATCTGTTAGGTGACAAAAAGTTTCTCTTTGCAGAATTTGTTCAAATTCTAAGAATTTGCTTCTCACATTTTTCAAAGAAACTGTTGATACACAACTAGCAGAAATCTTCAACTCAAGAAGATAAAAAAAAAGTAACTTTACTTAAAATGGATATTTTTTTAATGCAAGTGACTCAATTTACATAATCTATGACATTAAAACTGAATTATTTAGAAAATATGGTAATGGTAATATTACCTGTTTACTTATAAGGAAACTTTCAGCATTCATTGAACAAGCAGCCAGTACTACTTTCGGTTGAAATTTATAAAATCTTTCTTTTAAAACAATTTTTTAAGAAAATAAGTTTTCCTAGTCTGGTAGCTGTTATTTCTCTTTCCAATATTAATGGGGATTTCCTGCTTAACCTTTTATTTGAAGTAGTGTCAACATGTTGATTATGTTATTACTTTCTCTTTGAGTTACATGCTATATTCGTTTTAGTTGTTGCTATTTTTGAAAGTCTTCAAGTGATGTGGTTTCTGTAATTTGGTAAAGTTCTTTGTTTGTGTTTCTGTAGCACCAGACCACAAGAGTCAAAGATGTGTGGTCTCTGCCAAGATCCACAGGCTTCACTGGCTCAAAACCATTTTTCACCATTTATCTTTATAAATGCTCATAAACAGTTGAGAGTTCAGATGTTTCTGAATGGGTTTGGAATCATACATGGAAATTGCTAGATCACCAACTTGGTAGATCAGATGATGCATATTTTTCACCCCATATTTGTGATCAGTGTTTCAGATATGGCAAAAACTTGGATCCCAAATCATAATTTTCAAGTCAAACAGACCCTCCACCTACTTCAAATTCTGGCCTGCATTTTTACCCATTAATTATATTATTGATCTTCACAAGTTGTTCCCCTTGGCAGCTCTTCAACCAGAAAAGAGGCAGCTTACCCTGAAGGGACTGAGCGGCCATTGAACAGACACATAGAGAACAAAAGCATTGAATAAAACATTCTCTATCCATTACATGTCTGAAGTCCTTTAATTTGAATTTTGTATTGTATTAAGTTAAACTTATATCATGATACCTGTTAAATTATTTGAGATAAAAATTAGTTTAACTTATCTAATAACTTTAGTCTGGCACAAATATAATAAACTTATTAAATATCATAAAATGGTAAAATTGATCATTCCCAAAACTGCTCAAACAAGTAAACTTCTTTTTTTTCTTTTTTCTTTTTTTGCTTCTGTTATTGCCAAAATTCTATGGTCTTCATCAAGTATACAATCAAAAAGGAGGATAACCTCTAAAAATTTAGAAAAAGAGTCGTAATCAAGAGTTTTTCAAACTACTGAACTCGTTTTTTGCTTGTTACCACAATTCTATGGCTTTCCCTGGGTGTTGGAAAGTGATTCAACAGAAATGTGGTAAAAATCAAAAAAGAATTTGATCAATTGTCTGAACAACTCTTGGAACCATAAAACAATCTTTGCCATCTTGCGTATGTCTTGAATATTTTTTTCTCTAGAAAGTGCATATGAAATAAATAGCACAGTCTATAGCTTGGATTCCTGCCTATAAAGATGGTAAATACAGTTAAAAGTCATAAAATAGGTAAGTATGAAGAGAGACAAGATGGCTGAAAGGAGAGAAGTTTATTACGAGAAAGAAGGAAAAAATACATTAATGGAAAATTAATAATAAAAAAATGGATAAAAATTGTAAGTAAAATGGATAAATGAAAATAAAGAGACAAGATATCTAAAAGATGAGATTTTCAAAGGGAGAGAGAAGGAAAAAGAAAAATGAAATCAGAAATAATAAAAATAAGAAATGGATGAAAGATTATAAGTTTAAAGAATGAATGAAAAGAGAGACAAGATGGCTGAAAGAGTAGAATATCTTAAAAAGGAAAAAGTATACACAAATTAAAAAGAAATAAAAGAATATCTAAAGAAAACTTTTTTATGATAAAGCACTTTCCTTATTACTCACTAAACTTATGGCTGCTTTTTTATCACAATACAGCAGGTCGACAAACTCTTTGACTGCTGAAGATAACAACGTAAAGTCAGAAACAAACCAGCAGTTTCTGACATGATTTTATGCCCTACTTCAGAAGCCTGTCTTGATTGTTTTGATCACAGAAATCTTGTCCTTAAGCACAGCACAAATCTGTTGTCATTGTTTTGATCATTTTTTTTTTATGTTTTAAACCATTTTTCTTTTTACTACTGAGATTTTTGGTATTTTTATAATTTTCAGAAGCATTTACACTTGTATTATTAGTTTTACCATATCCTTTATACCATAAGTATTTTTATTATGATTAATTTTTTTTTTTTAATCATTTCACCCCAAGCAAGGAAATAAAGCCACTAAGACACGAGAGGTTACTAAGTGTGAAAGAAGAACATTATTTGGGAGTGAGAACAATAAAAAAGAGGAATCAAGAAGACAATAGATAACAGTTAACATTGCATTTAAATTTTAGATGATGAAAATTGTTTGGAAAGAAAGAAACCAGAAGTGATTCCCACAGGTGAGAAAAGAAACTGTTAGCATAAAACTTACTGTTACATCTGTCCAATTCAACAGTAAAATGATGAGATTTTGTTCCCAATCTAGTACTGTGCTTAAATTCATAAAGTCTAGGTGCCATAGAGAAAAATTCATTAGAAAAATTACTATTAAAGTATTTATAGAAAAGGCACAGGGAAGCTATATTACGGTGGTAGGAAAATGACTGAAGCTGAGATGCCCAGTCAGGACCATTGATATTGCAGATTCTTCACTGGATTTTATAAAGAATCTTTAGAGATATATAGCAGGAGCAAATATGGCAGCAGTATTCAAAGCATGGATAAATGGTAGACTTATAAATAAGTAAGATAGATTCAAGGCATTTACAAGTTCTACTCAATCTCGTTACATGAAGCTACTTCTTGTTTTTTGCTGAAGTAATTATTATTTCATTACTTATTTAATTCATTTTATTATTGTTGCTTTTTTTTTGTTGAAGCGTTTTCACTATTATTATTTTATTACTAGTTTTACACTATTTTATTACTTCTTTCCAGATGAAGCATTTTTGCTATTATTATTTTATTACTAGTTTCTTTTTTCTATTACACTCTTCCGTTGCTTTGTTTTGGATCCATGTTACTACTTTATTTTAAATTTTCTTATGTTTACTTTAGCAGTCAAAGGATATATTAACCCTATTAAAAATGCAATAATAAGATGGAGAAAAATGAGTAACAATATATATGACTAAAAATAAAATATCATCAGAATGAATGCAATGAAGACAAAGATAAAAAAAAATCCCAAAAAGAAAGCAAATGCAGTATGTGAGGGCAAGCTTAACCACATACTCAGTGAATGTCACAAATTGACACAGAAAGTGTATAAGCAACAACATGATTGGATTGGTAAGAGAATCCATTGGGAAGGATGCTGTAAATTTGGCTTCAAAGTGCAAGAGAAATGATATGAATATCAGCCAGATGCAGTGGTAGAATATGAGTGACACTATTATGGGATTTTTCAGTCCAGACAGATCATGTCATTTAAGCATGAAGACCTGACCATATTGTTATAGATAAGGAGAGTAAAAGCAAATGAAAAAAAAATTATAGAGACAGCAATATGCATGAAGTATATGAGGAGAGAGAATGAAATCAGTATTGTTTAAACAAAGGGTGAGGGGGGGAGAAAAAATAGAGAGGAAAGAATAGAAAGCAATGGGGTATTATATAATAAAGAAGGGAGGAGACAGAAAGGAAGGAGGAGACAGAAAAGAAAGGAGAAAGGAAGGAGACAGAAAAGAAAGGAAGAAGGCAGAAAAGAAAGGAAGAAGACAGAAAAGAAAGGAAGAAGACAATGGAGAAATTAAAAAGACAAAAGATAAAGCTTTAAAATGTCTGGAAAAAAAAAAGGTTCAGAGATAATCTTTGTCTTAATGATTCACAATGTGCAAAAAACCTCACAAAATGGCTTTAAGGTAATAAATGTCAGTTTTCTCCTTGGTTTTTATTGACAGTTTGCAAATATTCTTCAGTTCTCTGAGACTGGCTGAAAAGATCAAAGACTACACAGACAGGTTGATAGCTATTAAACCTTATCATGCTTAGATGTTACATTTGGATAGAAGAAAAGCAATTTGTGGGTGAGTCAAGAGGGGTTACATTTGGTCTGTGACTATTTACACAAAACAGTCAAAGTTAATGTAAAAGAAAAAATGCAAGCAGTCATTTTATAAGCGTATTTTTACTGAGCTACGAAAAGGTTTATAAAAGCTCTCCTTTACATTTTCGAGAATTATAAGCATAAAAAGGTGCAACCCAAAAGTATAAAAAATTTAACAACAAAATAATTACATTTTTTCAATCATTTCATACCAGTCAAGGCAATAAAGCCACTAAGGAGTTACTGAGTGTGAGAGAATATGAGGAAAAAACATTAAGAAGAGAACAATAAAAGAACAAGAATTAAGAAAACGAAGGATAACAATTGAGATTGCATTTAAATTTTTGAAGATCAAAGGCAAAAAAACCACTAGGATGCAAGGGGTTACTGAGTGTTAGAGAATATGAGAAAAACTATTAAGGAGAGAGGACAATAAAAGAATAAGAATTAAGAATACAGATGATAACAATTGAGATTGCATTTAAATTTTTGAAGATCAAAGGCAAAAAAACCACTAGGATGCAAGGGGTTACTGAGTGTTAGAGAATATGAGAAAAACTATTAAGGAGAGAGGACAATAAAAGAATAAAATTAAGAATACAGATGATAACAATTGAGATTGCATTTAAATTTTTTGAAGATCAAAGGCAAAAAACCACTAGGATGCAAGGGGTTACTGAGTGTTAGAGAATATGAGAAAAACTATTAAGGAGAGAGGACAATAAAAGAATAAGAATTAAGAATACAGATGATAACAATTGAGATTGCATTTAAATTTTTGAAGATCAAAGGCAAAAAAACCACTAGGATGCAAGGGGTTACTGAGTGTTAGAGAATATGAGAAAAACTATTAAGGAGAGAGGACAATAAAAGAATAAGAATTAAGAATACAGATGATAACAATTGAGATTGCATTTAAATTTTTGAAGATCAAAATTGACTGGCAATAAAACTACAAAGATGTAAAGTGTTACTGAGTATAAAAGAATATGAGAAAAAGAAAAAACATTAGGGAGAGAGAACAATAAAAGGAATTAAGAAGATAGAAGGTAACAACTAACATTGCATTTAAATTGACTGATCAAAGTTGACTGGAAAGACAGAAGCCGGGAAAATGTCCCATGGTGAGAAGTGCAAGTGAAGAAGCTATCAACATAGAACTTACAGATACCTCTAGCCATTTCAACTGCAAAATGAGGACATCTTGTACTTAAATTCATAAAGTCTAGGTACCATGGAGGAAAGTTCAGAACAATTACTATGAAAATATTTATTGAAAAAGCACATGAAAGCTAGGTTACAGTGGTGGAAAAATGACTGAGGCTGAGATGCCAAGTCAGGACCAATAATGTTACAGATTATTCTTTGTATTTTATCAATCTCTGTAACCATATCACCCCTTACATCTGGCCACCTTACTCCGCAGACTTCTTTATTATGTGTGTGGCGCAGTTGAATGAGAGACAAACAAAACTCCTTGTAACACGAAAGATGAACTGAATGCAAGGATTAAGGCAGCATTTACCACCTTAAATAAGGAAACCATCTGGAAAAGATGCAGGAAATTCCAAAGTCATCTGGAGGCTGTGGTTGAAGCCAATGGTGATTTTATTGAATAAATTTACTCTTTAGTGTCTCAAGATATTTTTATGGAATTTTGATAAGTATATCTGTTAAAATGAGATGTCAGTGTTATTTTCATTTTTGCATAATTTAGATGACAATTTATCCATCGCACCTTCTCTCAGTGTGTGTGTGTGTGGGTGTGTGTACACACACACCCAAATATAGGATTGGTGTATATGCAATAAATTTCAATGACCAAAAATACTATTCTTAAAAGAGGGCTCAATACAGAATAAAGCTAATATAATTTATTCGAAAATTATTACAAATATGTTATAAAATCAGTGAACACCATCACTTGATAAGACACCAGAAGTGTTGAAACAAAATGGCTATTTTTGTAGTGATTTTATAGCATATTTCTGTTATAATTTTTGAATAAATTATATATTTTCTTTTCATATTTATTGATTGATTTCTGTTATCCATTATTTAAATAGAAATTATAATAGTAAGAATAAGTGGTCCATTTGATGATGGACTCTTTACTCCAATGTCCACTGTAAAATGTGTGTGTGTCTTCTGTATACCATGGTATCACCCTAAAATACCAAAACTTTATGGAAAAACAAAACAGGTATCCCAATGAGCTCCATCATCTCAGATATAGACAGCACTTCCTAGAAACTGGTGAAAGCCATAACAAAAATTCTAAAACCACCCCCCGCCCATCCTTGGAACAATCAGCCCATCTCCTACGAAAAATTCTGGCAGCCTAGTTGAAAAACCGAGGGAAATAAATATGACTGACAATCTCATGACCTGTCTACATACAAAATTCCTTTATCCCAACGTCCTGGTTGAAAAATGCTTCAATCTCAATAACACAATCAAAGATAAACATCTCAGTACCAATAGCTAAAATAATAAGAAATCTTCCATCTCATCTCCAATCAATGCTATTTCATATGTAATAATAATTTTTATGAACAAAAATTTGTATTACCAAGGGGATCACCTGGAGTGATGGTGTGTATTTTACTAGAATTTCTCAAATCTGGTCTCTTCCAAAATATTTTACCCAAACAATCAACATAATTCTGATATCTGTCTTAGATTTCTGAGATGAGGTACTATTTACATTATTCGGGCTATTGTTCTCATCTTTGTTGCCATATTCATCTCAACGTTTCGGCCCTTCAGTATCTGTCTATATTTCTGAGATGAGGTATTATGTACACTATTTACATTATTCGGACTATTGTCCTCATCTTTGTCGTCATATTTATTAAAATGTTTCGGCCGTTGTATGCTCTGGCCTTCTTCAGGTGGTTAGAATGTCAAACTGAACCCTTTATTTTGCTCACTGGGGTAGACTGTTCAAGTTCCGCGTTATCTCCTGTTAATTTCCCTCTGAAAGTTCTCCACTGCCTTAGCCAAGTATTGAACTCACACTCTTTGGGTCCTGTCACTGATATATTGACAATGCTCTATTAATATCTCCTTATGGTACTGAATTACCTGACCCTGTAGATAAACTAAACAAAATTGAACATACAATAAAATTTACATATGAAATGGAAGAAAAGAATAATTTACATTTCTTAGGTATCATGCTACACCACATTAACAATAGCTTAAAATTTAGTATCGACCAAAAATCAACCAATAAAAATCATCTAATAAATTTCTATTCTCATCCTTACAACAAAATAAAATTCAGAATAATCATTGAATTCTATTTTAACGCACTCAGAATTTGCAGCCCTCAGTATTTACATACAGAGGAGAAACACATTGAAAACACTTTCCAACTCCTTCAATACTCTATTTTATATTCAATGCAAAACAAAAGCTTCATAAAATATTCGAAAGTAGAAAAACAGCCCCTCCTGACAAATCCAATGAATCAAAAAAATGTAACTATCATAATTAAAATTGAAAAGAATTTATCTAAACTCAACATAAAATTTGTTACAACTACGTCTAAAACAATAAAAAAATTAGTCAATAAAAAACAAAATAATAAGCTAAAACTTGGAGGGGGAATTTACTCTATTGCTTGTAATAATTGTCACAAAAATACATTGGAGAAATTTCTTGGAATTTAAATAAAATATTATATAAACACAAAAAGAACATTTCACAGAACAACACATTAAATGCATTAGTTGCTGACCATAATGAGACTAACCATAATTTTGATATAAAAAAATGCTACTCTGATTAAAGGAGAAAACAATTCACTAAGACAAAAATGTTTAGAGAGTGCCTTGGCTGCTAGATGATCCACAGGCTGAGACACTTGCAACATTTAACCATTCCTAGCAGATCATCTATTATCATAGTGTGGGATATCTAATAACAAAAGTGATAGAAACAAAAACAAAAAGAAACTAAATGAAAATTGTTAGATTATGTACCAAAAGACAAATAAAACATTTAGAATTCCTACCATTTCTCATTTGTGCACATGTGTAGTCACACCAACATAACAAATTTAGTTTGAAGAAGTCCTAAAGGATGAAATGCGTGACATGAAAACTTTTCCCCACCACTTTGTCATACATCTTTCCCCAAAAAATTGTTCCATATAAAAACACACACACAATGAAAACAGACAACTTTAAGGGTCCATTGGTTATAATTTATTTCCCCAGGGAATTTCTTTTTCCCTGGCTCATCAGACCACACTTCCAAGGGTGAAAAAAAAATGAAGTTAAATTTACATATATTTTTATACACTTTTGAGGGGTAGTATTAAATTAATGTAAAGTGATATAAAGAGTGGGGAGAGATGGTGACAGACATGGTCGAAATTAGAGAGGGAAGGGAGAAATAGGAATGATTTTAAATTTATTTTTATTACAATATTTAATAGTGAGGAAGGGTTGTAAAGACCAGACATTGACCTATTTAACTGATCTCTCTGGATTTCATCCTCCTTGGGATTATCCATAGGGGTTACAAAAGGTTTTCATTATTTCATTATATATATATATATATATATATATATATATATATAATATCAATTGATGATTAGTAGGGATAATTCCAGGGAGGATATAAATCAACAGAAAGCTCAATGTAAGAACAGAGCAATATAATAATGAATACAGAATCCTTAAAAATCCATCAGGTCAGGTGGTAATAAGTTTATTTCACAGAACTCATGTCCATTCTAAAGAGATGGACATGAGTTCCATGAAATAAATTTATTACCACATGACCTGATGGATTTTTAAGGATTCTATATTCACTATATATATATATATATACATACACACATATATATATATATATATATATATATATATATATATATACACACACACACACACACACACACTTAAAATTTAAATATTTTATTAATTTCAACTTATTTTAACTTGATTAAGTGATCTAATTTTATATTAACATTCCTCTGATTTTTAACTCTTGAGATAACTTTCAAAGTGGTTTTAATATCTTAGTAATTCCTCCTTGTTTTATTCAGCATCTGTCCTAGAGATAGTGTCTTGATAAAAGTGCCCAGTCTCCTGTGCTATGAATAGGTTAATAGGAGTAGATAGGCTTCACCAGTACTTCCATGTTTATTGAACAGGAGTCTTATCACTTGTTTACTGTTTTGGATATGGTTTATAGGTTCCTTTTTTCCATGGCCTTAATGATTTAACTGTCTTAACTTTTTGGTGATCTGACTGATCAGTGGTTGCAACTTTTCATTATGAGATTTGAGAGTTTCTAATTGCTGCATCCAACTGGTAATAAAAAGCTCAAACTTTTTGGTAGCACTTAGAAAGGGTCATCTGATCAACAGTTGCGTAATTTCAGGGTATTTGTAGTGCCATGTCACATATGGGTAAGTGTCCCTACATGTATTTCAGGTGAGCCACCTTGAGGCCACACTATGCTTTAGTCTGAGCCACCTTCTGGTCAGGTTTTAATGCCATAGAGGATGGACAGTGATAATTATTTTGTCCTTTTTTTTCCTTAAAACATAATCTTCTTACTCTAACATCTATGTTCCTCATTTTCCTACAAATTACATATATACACACACATATATATATGGTGGACTCTCCCATCATATTCAACATCATGTACAAAACAACCAACTCTTAAGGTAACATTATGGTAAAAAGATACACCAGAGAAAAAGAGCCCAATGCCATATTTAATAGCACAGCATTAATATAATTTTCTTAATAACTTTGCAGTGTACAATCACTAGTTTTGTGCATTTTCACATAATTATCAGAAAACACTATGGTACTCGTATTGTAATTTTCAGTTGACAATATTAATACAATAGCATTTTCTAAATTCTAGTTGCTAATGACATTTTGTTTGTTCTTAATAGTTACTTTGTTTTCAATAAATTCATTTCGTTTTTGCCTTGAAAAGTCTACATTGGATGAAATGCATTGGCTAATAATACAGTTTTCCTATTGTCTTATTTGTGTGTGTATATATATATATATATATATATATATATATATATATAATTTATTTGTTTAAACCTTATTTTTAAATGGATACTCATATTTGAGTAGATGCTCTGTTTTTATTTATTTATTAAACAGTATATTTATATATTTACATCTACCATCCTGAATAATTGAGAAATTTTAAGAAAATATGCATCTTCCAGCAGGATTCAAACCTGCATCCTCTTAGGTAAACTGTCATTAAATCTGCTATGCCTTAGACCAACTCGGCCAGGTAGAACTTCCTGATCAAACAAATGATCTAATAACAGTTTCCCCTAGAGGATGCAGGTTTGAATCCTACAAGAAAATGCATATTTTTCTAACAAAACTTCTCAAATAGTCAGGCTAGCAGATGTAAATAAGTACTGATTAATAAATAAATAAAAACAGAGCGTCTACTCAAATATGAGTATCCATTTAAAAAGAAATAATTTTTAAACAAATGAATTAAAAATCCGTCAGATTTAATCCATTTCCTATATATATATATATATATGAAGAAATTTTGAAAAAACAAACAAAAATCCTTAAATGTAGTTAAATGAAAGAAATGTTTCTGACGTTTTAGGTTTAATAAACCTTTTTCAAGACAATATTCATCAAAATTTTCAATTATCAGTTCAATATAAGAAATACGTTTTACATAAAAACGTAAGTCTTATTCAGAACTGAATTGTAAATTTTCATGAATATTGTCTTGAAAAAGGTTTATTAAACCGAAAATTCAGACGACGCTCATATTTCTTTCATTTAACTACATTTAAATTGTTTTTTTTTTCAAAATTTCTTCATTCTGTCGGATTTATATCCATTTACACTTGCTTATATATATATATATATATATATATATATATATATATAAAAATTATAAATTTGATTTTTTTTTGCAAGAATATTCTTCACCAGAAAAAAATGGATAAATTAAAAGAGCGCTCAATACTGTTTTCATAAAACAAAAAAGTAGAACAAATTAATATGTAAAATATCAGAAAAAGTCTTCTTCAGGCAACAAGTCACCATTTTTCATCTGAAACACCCATAATTGTACTTGTAGTGGGAGGAGAAAAAGTGGTGGTAAGAAAAAAAGAAAAAGAGAGGGAGATAGAGGAAGAGAAAGAGGGACAGAGGGGAGGAAAAAATAGTTACATTATTTACATTTATCACCTGAAGAAAGCCTGTGCATACAATGGCCAAAACATTGTGAATATGGAATAAAGATGAGGACAACAGTCCAAACAATGTAAATAGTGTATGTGTGTATATATATATATATATATATATATATATATATATATATATATATATATATATATATATATATATATATATATATATATACACACACACACACACACACACAAGTATAGGATTGGTGTATATGGAATAAATTCCAATAACCAAAAAAATACTATTCTTAAAAGTGTGCTCAATACAGAGTAGAGCAAATATAATTTATTCAAAAATTATAACATAAATATGTTATAATATCACTACAAAAATAGCTGTTTCAACACTTCTGGTGTCTTTATCAAGTGATGGTGTTGAATGTTGAATAAAAGTTTTTATTCAACACCATCACTTGATAACACACCAGAAGTGTTGTAACAAAATGGCTATTTTTGTAGTGTTTTTTTATAACATTTATGTTATAATATAATTTTGAATAAATTATATATATATATATATATATATATATATATATATAAACAAAACTAAACAGTATATGAAAAGAGGTATGTATATGCATGTAAAGTTCTATGGGGGTATGTTGAGAGATTTAAATTTGAGAAGAGTTGGTTTGGTATAGTTATCAGCTTAGGATATTTGAAAATTACATGTTGTATACAATAAGACATGTGGCTTGCTGCAGACTAAGAAGCCCACTGGAGAGGAAACAAGACAATAGAGAAGAATGAAAGGAGAAAAAGTTTGTGCTCTTGTCTTTTATATTGCTTTCAACAATCTAGTGGTCATTAGCAAAAGTTCCTCAAGATACAAGTGGGGTAATCTCATATCATGCACACATATACACAGAGACACAGACAATGCTCCAATAAAGTAATGCCTCATATTTATTTCCATGGAAATTACAAGAGATACAGAGAGAACAATAGCAGTGTTAGTTTTCATAGTCAAAACACTGATTTTCCACACAGTCTACCACTTTTTGGTTTGTTTTCAAATCTTATTTCTTTGAAAATTTTAATAATTTCTTTTCTGATTTTATGCTTTTTTTTCTTCTTTGTATTTTCTTAGAATTATGACACTGTACACTCATTAGATTCACTTACGCACAAATAGCCTTAGGAAAGGCATGAATCCAGCTCTTCTCCCCCCAGCTATGGGTTGAATAGTAGAACAGACTGGGTTCTTTACCCTTGGTTGGCAACCAGTCTACTACAGAAAGAAATGGCAACCTACTACAGGAAAAATCTTTTGCCTTGTCAGTCATGTATCAAAAGATACATGATCACCCAAGTGTGTACTATGTATATCACTTAACTTACTGACACACACATCTTTTTGTTAATAATACTTAGCTAATGTGTGTAGAATACATATTCTGATCAGTTCATTCCCACTACATCATAGCTTCCCATGGTCATGCCCATGATCATGCCCATGGTCAATAGAAGGGTTTCATCCCCCCCACCCCCACATCTCAATTTTAATAAGGTAGTATTCATATAAAACACAGATTTTGTTGTAACCTAATTATGTACAATTATTGGCATGTTTAAAATGTTTTGTGCAGCCCCCAACACCCAGTATTTTAAAATACTGGGCGGGGGGAGGGGGCTGCTAAATTGTAGTAAATTTTTTATTTATGATTAGTAAATATAGTTTTTATTTAGTAACAATATCACCTACCAGATAAAAATTAATACAGAAATTTAAAAGATTTAAAATTTTATAAATTACATTCTTTTAAAATGAAAACAATTCTTCTATGTTGTATCCTTACAAAAGGTTACAAACAGACAAAGGTGGTACTCGAGTGAAAGGAAAAGCAATACAGCTGTAGATGAAAGAAAGAGATGTTTATTGTAAAAGAGAATACACTGCTGAAAGACAGGGAATCAGTTAGCAGGCTAGTAATTCCCGAAGCAAGTCGGGCAGGTATATCCTGTGCTCACTATATATATTTACCAATATAGTCAGTCCACATATGCAATAGGAAGTGTGGGACATTCTATTACAACATTCTAAAAATTCATTATTCATCAAAAATATTTTTTTCTTAAAACAATAGTGTCCATGTTTTTTTTTCATATGTTTTTTTCTTAAGATGATAATATCCATAATATATCTTATTCATGTAAGCAAATAAATTTTTCTAATCAAATAATTCTTTGTTTTATTTAAGTAATGAAACTGATTTACTAAAAAATGAGCATACCATGAAGAAAAATGACTTAAAAAACTTAATAAAACAGTTTTATTATCAAAATCTTTATTATTAAGAGGAAAGAGCAGGAGGAGTTCCTTTTACATGCCAGCCCTGGTTATGTCAAACATTTTCTTTATTCTCTTCTTTAACTATACTGTTTTTTATTCAATAGAAGGGATCTTCAACAGTGTTATAAACTATTCACAAAAAAAAATCAATTAACAAAAAAAATATGCAAACACAACTTCTCTCAAAGCATATACTGCAACTCAAAAAAACAAACCAAAACACACGACATGGAGTTTAAGATATATCATAGCATAAGTGTCTAGTATAATGAAGG